TGAACATTAAAGCATGTCAACATATTCTGTTACACCAAATACACAAAATAATGGATCTTTAAAAAAGCATCATATGACCCCTTTGAAGTTCACCACTGGATAAAGTTGGGAAACACATCAATGCTGAGGCTGCGTTTACACTAGTGCGTTTCGTTTTCATCAGTCGATGCACCAATCTTGCTTGATTTGTTTTTTTCATGGCCGATTTTACAAGCAAATGGGCCGATTCCAATTTGTTAATATTTATTTCATTTTTTAAAGCAAGAGATAAGATAGAATTAAAATATAACTGCATGAACAAGATGATAGGCCTACTATCTGTAGCCATTTAAAATTAGAGGCAACCACTGCATTTTAATCACAATTCAAACAAAGAAGCTGCATGCATGAGCAGTTTCCGTTTTTCCGTTAATTTAAATTAGATTAACTTAGATGTAATTTAAAAATCTGAAGACAAAATGGTAAAGACAGAAAACAGAATGGTCTGACTTTAACTTTGAAATTATGCTACATAAAACACACCTGCACGAAACAAAATCAGCTGACGGACTGAATGAGACGCAGATTCACTCTCTGACAGCAGGTGGCGCTTATGGAACAGCAGCGATACAGCGTTTCCATAGTTACCGCGGTAAACAAAGCAGGGCAGCGCTTATAAACACTACTTTAATATTCTTCATTATATGATGGTAAGATGAAAAGAAAATACCATCTAAACTTTTCTAAAGACAGTCAGTTCCCCTCAGAGATACACTCATATAAACCCCAATTCAATATTAAGGATTTTCTTCCAATATTTTGCTCATCGTGAACAGTGAGCTGCTCTGTCTGCTAAGTTACAGTATTTTCCCCTCTTTGTGTTCTTCTTCAGCGGTCTTTGTTAACGTCTCGTTTACAGACTTCCTAATATTTCCACACAAATTACATTTTGGAAAATGCTTGCAACACAGTTTGTATGCAAGTCCGGAACAGAGGTCGGCTGAAATAAGACAAAAAAATCCGGTTGCTGATCGTGCGTTTAGAGCAAAAACAGGCCGCTGTTGCACCGAATTATGTGACCATATTAGGCGCTGTATTGAGCTTATCCAACCTACTCCTAAACCCAATCCTAATCCTAAACCTACCCTCACTGCAGCGCCTACTAAAGTCACAGAATTCGGTTTAACACCTGTTCCGAGTTATGGCCTTCTACTACTAACATTAAAATTGTCTCGGGCCAGTGGTAAACTGTGCGTTCTTGGCCAAAGGAAAACATTTTCCAGGACATTTGACATTTTCTCTCATTTTCCATGTGTTTTCCAGGACTGGAAAAGTAGCCATCAATTTTCCAGGATTTCCAGGACGCATGGAAACCCTGTCACTGTCTAAAACAGGGGTGCCCAAACTCGGTCCTGGAGGGCCGGTGTCCTGCAGAGTTTAGCTCCAACTTGCCTCAACACACCTGCCGGGAAGTTTCTAGCATGCCTAGTAAGAGCTTGATTAGCTGGTTCAGGTGTGTTTGATTAGAGTTGGAGCTAAACTTTGCAGGACACCGGCCTTCCAGGACCGAGTTTGGGCAGCCCTGGTCTAAAACGGTTGTGGCTAGAAGGGATACAGCTACAGCCGGAAGTTAACAGTAAATTAAATTAGTCCGGAGTCCTGCAGAGTTTAGCTCCAACCCTAATCAAACACACCTGAACCAGCTAATCAATGTCTTACTAGGTATACTTCCAGACAGATGTGTTGAGGCAAGTTGGAGCTAAACTCTGCAGGACACTGGCCCTCCAGGACCGAGTCTGGTGACCCCTGGTCTAAAACATCTGAGGTAATAGAAATAACAACAATATTGTTTTATTCACAACGTAATCCAGATGGATGTTATTATAGCTTTAAGTCTGCTTTTATGTACAGTACACTAATTCTTAAAAGAATATATAGAAATATATGCACTCTAACAAGGAAAAACAACTTATTAAGGCTCTACAATATATCAGATATAGCATTATTGTCAGCATTTGTACACTGTGTATCTTCTAACTGGACTCTGAACCGCACACTTGCTTGAAGTACTCCTGCAGAATCTCCAACTGGGCTGAGCGGATCAGCACATGAGGCCGGACTGAGGCCAGCATCTTACAGGCCTCCTCTGGACTCCAACAGTGTAGCTGTGAAAGGAAAACAAGCATTTAACACACGGCTGTAACCACTATAGACACACTGAGAACGAGGATATCTCCCTTCAATAATTATATAGGGACAAACTGCCCCCTCCCCCTCAATATTTGATATTTTTATGCTGCTTTGCTGCACTTCTTTACCAACAAGATCTTTTTGTTGTTAGGATGACAAAAAGTTTCAAAGTTACATTTTTAGGCTGGTCTGATCTAACAGCACTCATTAAAGTTTTAATGTTGACTGAGTGCGAGGTAAGACGTAAGTAGCTAAACATTTAATATTACCGTTTTACAATAGAAATGTAAAAACTTGCAGTAATATGCATTAATACAAACTACTTGACTTAATTTAATTATTAAATTCCCTTAAATAAGGACAAAAAGGAACAAATTCATATAAAGAATATACTGTACGTCTCTCAGTTGAATTGTGTATGGTTTATTCTTAAAAAAGGAGAAGTGAAGCTTAGGTATATAAGTCCCTTTGAATTCTGCATATGTGGGTTTTATGTAGTGAAGTGATCAGCATCACATGAATTGACCTATATAATTTTTTTCCTCTCCAAAATTTTCCACCAACAATATTAAGAGACAAAATATTATAAATACTCAATGAAAAAAGTACAAAAAAATATGCAATCACACAATGACAAATATTGTTCACAGTGGTGGCCTATGACATAGAGCTGCTGACTTTGTTATTGTTCATGGTGTATGCAGACTCACACCCACCCTGATGAGGTATGCGGCTGCAATAGTTGCACTGCGTGAGCGGCCAGCCTTGCAGTGAATATAGACACTGGTGCCTTGCTCTCGATGTTTCAAGGCGAAGTCCACACCCTTGTGAATGTGCTCTAGGCTGGGAATACCTGTAAGGTCCACCGTGCTGAGTCTGATCTGGTCAACGCCAACAGCTTGCCAGTCCTGTTATATAACCAACAGGAAAAAAGCACCCTTAGTTGTACATTGACATATGTGATTATGGTTGGTAATGATCGAGTGACAGAGCTGGCAGATGCACTTACCTCAGCCGAATTGCAGAAATATTTTGTCTCATATTCTTCATTCATAGTAATAACTCCTCTGACTTTCTCATTTTGGACCAACTAAAGCCAAACGAGACAAGAGGCGTTAGGTGAGTCCTGAAACAGGACTGGAATTTGATACTGTGGTATTTTATAAATATGGTAGGATCATTATAATTATCATAAATACTGTAAATGACAAATACCTCCTCTGTCATTGACCTGAATGGAAGAGCACCAAGAATGACAGTAGGATCCACGCGATTATACCAATGCCTGGAAGTGATCTTTTCCATGACAACATTGTAAGCGAGTGTGGGATAAAATAAAATCCTTGCTAGAACACTCGACATCGTTCCTTGTGTAAACGAACGACACGTACAACTTCAAACGCTTCACAGGAGTTTCATTCTCACTCCTCTTCATAATCACTACACATGAAAAAGCTTTTTCTTCGACGCATGTTACAGATCCTCAACATTGCCATTTTCTTCTTCTTCTTCCGTTTTTTGGCGTGTTACATCCTGTGTGCATATCGCCACCTACTTTTGCTGTTATGCAGTCATGGTTTATTTATTATCAATTTATTCCTTGTTTTTGCTTTTCCTGTTCTTACACACGTATATACACAAATATTCCTACTTAAATAATTATTCGATGCTCCATCCCATTCCTTCTCCCCAGGCTCCACCTGGCGCTGCGTGTTCAGCTCCTCCAGTATAAATCCGTGCATTGCCATCTTCTATTTTGGAGGTTAATTTGCTGGACACCGATTGGGAAAGGGAATAAATTCACCGAACGCCTTTAGCCACTGACCAGATGCCTATATGTCAATAATAACAATAATAATGGGACACTTCATGTCCATGTACAAGATAAATTAATACAATTTATAAAATAAAAACTATTATCATTATCACCATTGATACTGAAGAAGCACATTGTGTGAGGAGTAGGAGACATAAAGTCATGGCCTACATTTGTAAGAGTCTCGTGTCATTTTGCAGTTTATCGTGCACTTGTGTTAATGTTAATGAATGAACATCAATGAATCCATAATGTACACTTACCCAAAATACTACAATGCAGCATAAAAGAGGCAATAATGAACACTGGCAGTATGTCAATGAAAAAATTCAATGTCTTTGAATTTACGTGTACAAACACGTGCACAGTAACATTCCAGTAGAATGCAAACCTCTTTTTTTGTTTTTAAGGATAAAGCCAGGATATGGACATCAGTTGTACAATTTTGTGCATGTAAACGTGGTTAATGTCCTTATTACAGTGTGTTTGTGTTTCCGTATGATTGTGAATGCATTTATATAGTACATTTTATTACCAAACCCATAATAATATCAACACAACTGAACAGACATTAAAAGTAGACTTCACATAAACCAGTCTGCCAAATACACACGTTTGATGTTTATCTCCATATCACACAGGCAGACCTCTTGGGCTTTTATTGACTTGAACGACCACGTGAGAGAAACGCACATCTCTGCATAAGGGGGAACGCATTCTAACCAATTGCTTTTAACTATTGTTTTAAGTATTTATATACGAATTTATCATAAAAGACAAATAGAAATTCTTATTATAGACGTGTCTATCAACGTTTTGACACCAAAAGTACATATTTATTCAATCCATTTCGACAGAGGCTCCACCCCACTCCCCTTTTAATAAATGTGATGGTACATGCAGGAAAGACAGCCATTTTGCACCGTCCCTCTTCCACCCAGAAAGTAGGTTGTCGTGGGAAGACGTAATCAAAGAAAACTACTAACTCTCAAATCCCACTACACAATCATTCCCCTGTGTCAGCACACCATACCTACTCAGTTACCTCCGTTTGCAAAAGGGGGCATCGAGGGTAAGTGTTGATTGTTGATGGTTGTAGCTGCGCGAGCTAACTGGTGGTTGTTTACGGGCGCTAGCACGCGCTAACATGCGTCATTATGTAAGAGCAGATCGACCACCGCGCGCCCACGGGGCTCATGTCGCGTATAGATACTCTGAGCAGTAGTACATGCGCAGCTGCGTCGAGAGTTATCGAATCTTGTGTAACTTCGGCGCGCTGTTCGAGCTGTTCTGCTACGTTAGCATCACTGAGAAGTGTAACGATGCAAAGCAATTAAATAGATGCAGGTGACGAGCAGGACTCGGACAGGTCGCTCCCTGTGTTGCACGCGTGGTCTTTACATCGCATGCATGTTCACTGCGATCGCTCTCGAAACCAGAGGTCCTGTTGGAAAACGCATGGTCACTCCCTGGCTAAATTAACACGTATATGATCGCAGCAAACGTGTTAGTATTGTAGTAGTGTTAAGTTTTTAGCACAGAGGGCCTGTCATGTTCCCCATTTGTAAAAGGCTCCTTATGCAAGTAAAATGCAACTTTGTGGCTTAATCTCATATCCATCAAAAGGAGGAATCGATCCCAGCAAAAGTTCTCCGAGCACTAGTAGCGAATGGAAATGTCTCTAACTGATAGAGCGTTTACTTTCTTGTTTCAACGCTAACGTGCTAATAACATATCAGTAACGTTACACCATACGTAACTGCTCCTGAGGCCATCACATTCAGTGTCAGTGTTTGTCTAGCTTAGTTTGCAAGTGCTCATATAGCTGCTTGTTTCCACTAAGTCTGTCAATAAAATGTGTTAAGTTAAATGTGGTCTTCTGCTTTGAGCATCAGAGGCCTGTTGAACAGAAAGCTGCTGCTGTTCAGGACTGTCACGTGAACTATCACGATCACTATCATTTGATAAGAGCTTCATAATGGACGATTGTGCTTCTACTTCCTAGCCAAAACCTTTGTATAGGTATAATGCATAAAGCTCTCTGAAAATGACTTGAGGAATCCATAAAGTCGCAATATATTGACAGGACTTTAGCAGGACTAGTCGGTGCTGAATGCAATGGTAATCTAATGTGGACTGTGTTCTGTTGGGAATGTTAGCAGTATTGCGACCTTCAGTTGTAGTCTGGTATAGAAATAACGAGTTATGTCTAGAATGGGAGCCTTGTGGGTAAAAGATTTTCAGAAAAAAGACAACATAGGCTGATAATATTCTATTAAATAAGAACTCTGCCGTGAAGAGCAAGAAGGCCCATTTTGCTTGACGTGATTGCTTGCAGTGTTAATTTTGACAGGCATTTTTGATTTAGTCTTAGTCTTTATCTTGAGACGAAAATCCTTAATAGTCTGTCACATTTTAGTAATTTGAGTCTTTCATAGTTTTAGTCAATGAAAAGTCATTGCATTTTTGTCAACTTTTAGTCAAACTGCAGTTACCAGCATTTATTTTGGTAGCTATTTTATATGTAGTCTTCAAACAAAAATAGCCATTAATGCTTCTCTCTTTAGACCAAATCAATTAAGCTTATGAGAAATTTGAATCAGGGATTGAATTTGGAAAAACTTGAATAAATTATGACAATTTCCATTTTTGGGTGAACTATCCCTTTAACAGTAGTGAAAAGGGAGCAACTTATAAAAGTGATAGTTTTTCATATATAATATATAATTTATAATTTTTGAAAAAAGCAGAATAAGACAAATACGAAAGAAATACAAATTAAACTAATTTTTCAGATACAGTAGGTTTACTTAACATA